TAAGTTCTACCTTCACATTGTCTTCTCTGTGTGGGCAAAAGCTCCCTCTGGCACTCTTTTATAAAAATGCACATATTTGTATTTAGCGACCCCACAGATAACCCAGGATCATCTCCCCATCTCAGAATCCTTAATCACATCTGCAAAGACCCTTTTTCCAAATAAGATTTTTAGGTTCCAGGAACTAGGACCTAATGTCTTTTGGTACTGTTATTCAGCCTATCATATCTCAAAATTAAACACAGCCAATGAACAGGGCATACAGCAGTGTGTGCAAGAAGTCTCAAGATGTCTATCAGCAGGAGGATATTTGCTGCACATCAGGGTTATTTCTGTGTAATGACTATAGTTATATATGTGGTATTATTGACACAGCACATGTATCCAGATGTTTCAGATTCAAATTAAAGTCTGAGTTGCCTAACAACCTTCCGAATAGAACAGTCTAACTTGAGCAATGTCACATTATCCATGCTGAGTGGCCTAAAGGCCTAGCTTCTTCTGCTTATCACTTGGTTTCAGTTCTACCAACCACTCTTCCTCATTGTTAGACATACCCTAAGGGAGGAAACTTAGGGAGTTTGAGTAAAAGGAATGTATTCTGCAGCCTTTTATTTAGTAGGTTCACTAATGAGTCAAACTGGATACTAGCAGGAGATTTAGGATTTGACTCTTAATTTATTTCCTCTCTTTTTTTTTTTTTTTAAAAAAAAACTACTCTTCTGTTGCAGAATCCTCTGTGGTTCTTAGACTTACAGGTTAGAAGCACTGCGTGTGTAAGAAAAAGTGTGTGTGTGTGTGTGTGTGTGTGTGTGTGTGTGTCTGCTTGCAGGGCTAGTCCTACACCAAGCTTATTCATGCTGTTTGCCTACTCATCAAGAATCAAGTCTGCTGGCAAATCATCCTACAGGCTCCTCCTAAGGCAAGGTTGAGTGAACTTTTCATACATGAAAAAGATGGGATATTAATGTCTGAGCAATTTTCAAGCCAAAATTATGCTTTCATGCATTTTAAAGTTGTCATTTCTTGATTTTTTTTCTAGCAATACTAATAAATCTCATATCTTTAGAACACTTCAGGGCTGGGATTAGGGTAAAACAAGTGATACACTTGCCTTGGGTACAAAATTTAAGGGGATGCAAAAAACTCAGTTATAAACTGATACTCTAATGTAATAATTTCAAAAAATCAAAGCAGCAAACTATAGTCAAATGGTTAATCACCTATTTTTATAAATAAAGTTTTACTGGAATGAACCAGGATTAGTGTATCAGAGTCATGCAAGTATTAACTGGATCTTGTCTTTAAAATATGGATATTGTTTTCATTGAGTATATTTTTGCATTGTTTTAATTTTTAAAAATAATTTTAAATAATTCTCATTTTTAAATGATTAAATTTTTAAAAAACAATTTATACTCCAATTTTTACAAGATAAGCACCCTTCAAATAACCACTACATTTTGTTATGGAGCAAAAGTGTTTTGTTTATTTCCCAATATATTACAAAGGATATGAAAAAAGATATACTGAAGAATCAAGATTCAGTAAAATTAATACTTTGTACTACTTCATCAAGTATACTGTTAAGTGAAATTGAAGGGTTTTCTTTATTATGAGTACATAAAGGCCAGAAATTTAACTCATCATTACTTCTGTACCATCAATGCAAATGCCAATGCAGTAAAAAGGGCAAATAACATCTTAGAATTACTATGAAAATAATTTTGACCATACAGACCCCTTGGCAAGTCCCTGGGGTCAATAGGCAACTGTAGCCTTAAAGAATAAAGTTTTACCAATACATTAAAACCATTGTAAATAGGATAGAATCCTTAGACGGGGGCAACATAATTAAGACTTACCCCAAAATTAGTTTTACAATAACAAATGGGGAAGAGAAGCAAACTGACCCATCTGATATATAAACAGTTTTGAGCAACCACAAAATCTTTGATGAGGCTAAAGGTAAGATATGAAAAAGATGTAAAAAATCTGAATGCTATGAATATAATCAGTGACCTAAAGGTATGGCTATTTTAGGGCAAGTGGAGAAACACAATCCCACCTACCTTTCGCCTCCTATGCCTGGCCTCACCTCCCCTGTAAGAAAGGAGCAGAAGGCTCTAGAGCAGCAACAAAAGGAAGAGAAAGGCACAAATTACACAGCACACCCTATGCTGCTCCAATATTCTGGGGTCAGTTAATGGAGTTCTCTTCTGCTGCTTCCTAGCGCACAACGTTGAGCACATTCCCAAACCACTACCCATTTCAGTCTCCTCATACAAATATGTATATAATTCATATTATGAATATAATTCATATTATGAATATAATTCATAAAAGCTGGGACTGGGGGTGTGGCTCAGTGGTAGAGCACTTGCATAGCATGTATGTGTCCCTGGATTCCATTTCTAGCACCCCATCTCCCCCACAAAAAACGTTGAAAGCCATCTGATTGACCATTGCTAAGGTACTGGAAAACTGTATATGGGTAATTCATACAATGAATTACCTATTTTTTGCTCTATTTTTCATATGATTACTATAAAGAGTATATGAGATGACAGAGTTAAAGTATTTATCATGGTGCCTAAGAGAGTAAGTATTCAATAAATATATCTTATTAGCTGGGCATGGTGGCACATGCCTGCAATCCTAGCTACTTGGGAAGCCAAGGCAGAAGGACTGTGAGTTTAAGTTCAGCCTGGGCAACTCAGTGAGGCTCTGTCTCAAAATAACAGTAACAAAATAAAAGATCTGGGATGTTGCTCAGTGGTAGGGCACTTGCCTAGCTTATGCAAAGCTCTCAGGTTTAATCTCCAGTACTGAAAAAAAGTATCCTGTTAAAAATTAAAAAATATATACTTCTGTACTTATTCATTACTATTTTCTTAGTCTGTTTCTGCTGCCATAACAAAATGCCTTAGACTGGGAAATTTATGAACAATAGAAATTTATTGCTCACCATTCTAGAAACTGGGAAGTCTGAGATCAAGGCACTAACAGATTCAGGGTCTGGTGAGGACCCATTCCTTAATTTTAGCTGTGCCCTCACATAGCACAAAGGACAAACACTATGTTGTCAAATGTGGGGACAGCTCCTTCAAGTATCTTTTATAAAGGCACTACTCCCAATCACAAGGATTCCATCCTCGTGACCTATTCACCTCCCAAAGTCTTCCCTCCTTTTAATATCAACATATTGGGGATTTGATTTCAACAAATTTAGAGAGACAAAACATTCGAACCATAGTACCAGAGTTCAATAACTTTCCACTGCATGTATAAATGCTTAGATCAGTGCCTTAGCAATGTTAGGTATTCAAAAAGGGTCTTTTCCACCGTCCCCAGCCAGAGTGGAAGCCGATTGGACCTGTCACATCATCCATGCTCCTTTGAGTAGCACAATAATTCACTGAAAAGCTCATACTTACATATGAAAAGTATACATAAAGGTGCAAATTATTATGTAAAAATTGAAATGTTTATTATATGGTTGAACCATGTTTTATATCTTCTTAAAAATCATTTTATTGGTGTTGAAAATATATTTGAAAAACAAATAATTTGTATAAAGTTAAACCAGAAAACATTGCCTTACAAACAGAAAAATGAGGAAATTATTCTTGTGGGACAAAGAATACCAAGATAGAACTTTTCTTCCTGCCTGCCCCACCTGTTTCTTTAGGAGATGGTGAGGTGCTGGCCCAGGGTGTGTCGTCTTCAAATTGAACCCAGTTGCTGATGGCTGAGGCCAGGTCAAGTGAGGGCTGCTCGGGGCTCTCGGGAGGAGAGGCCACTTCAGAGATGAGACCCATCTTTTCAGAGGGTCCTTCAGAATGGAAGAGAGAGGCAAAAAAGATGTCATTTTGTGAGCTGGGGTTGTGGCTCAGTGGCAGAGTGCTTGCCTAGCATATGTGAGGCACTAGGTTCGATCCTCGGAACCACATATAAATAAATAAAAAATAAAGGTACATCAACAACTAAAAAATATTTTTTAAAAAAGATGTCATTTTGTAAGACAGAGAGATGCTACATGCCTGGATTTGGAGACAAAGAGGGTGGTCACATGTCAAAAAATGTAGGCAGCCTTTGGAAGCTGTAAAGGGCCAAGTTATAGATTTGCCCTTAGAGCTTCAGAAAGGAATGCAGTCTTGCCCTTAGAGCTTCAGAAAGGAACACCCCAGGACACAGAATTGTAAAATCATATAGTCTCATGTTGTTTAAGCTACTATGTTTGTGATACATTATTATAGCAGCAAGTAGAAACTAATATAGACTCAAAAGTTATCCAATCACCTTTGATGTTTCAGTACATGACACAACAATAAATAGCCAGGCTGCCAGAAAGGGAACTAACAACTGGCTTCTCTGAGTTTCTCAGTACAGCTTCTAGCCATTTAAATGCCACAAAATCAGTGCTTTACCAGTTACAACCATCTTCACTCCTGAAAATTTGGAATCCATTCAGTAGTCTGAGAAATGAGAATCTCCATGTTCAACTAGTCTCACTGGGGACTCTACAAGACATGGTTAGTGATCTACTCTTTGAGAGACATTCATTTGTATGCATAAGGAAATAACAATTTAGATACGTAAATAATTCCAATTCCTAATAGTTTTAAAAATACATGTATTCTTCTAAAGACAAGTCAACAGCCAAGGACAAGGGTAAAAGGCTGAAAATGCCCAGAACATGTAAATTCTTTTGTGTGTATGGGGCTGTAGCTCAGTGGTAGAGCACCTGCCTTGCACATGTGGGGCACTAGGTTTGATCCTCAGCATCACATGAAAATAAATAAATAAAATAAAGACATTATGTCCATTAAAACTGGGAAAATATTGGGGAAAAAAACACTATATAATTAAACCAGATGAGATCTCTGTCTGCTTTCTCCTATGCTGGAGCAAATAAAATAGAATCCTGGCAGCCCTAAATACTTCCCACAGAAAAGCATCCTACTGAGCACATACCAAGGCAGACCTTTTCTTCCTGCCTTCCCCACCTGTTTCTTTAGGAGATGGTGAGGTGCTGGCCCAGGGTGTGTCATCTTCAAATTGAACCCAGTTGCTGATGGCTGAGGCCAGGTCAAGTGAGGGCTGCTCAGGGCTCTCGGGAGGAGAGGCCACTTCAGGGATGAGACCCATCTTTTCAGAGGAATCATCCTGCTCTGAGTGGGAAAGGTCCTGGGAGGCTCCATCCACCACATGGTTCTCCCCAGAGGAAGTCTCAGACTGGTCTGAAGAAGATGACAGTACTGGGAGGTGTTCTTCAGTGCCCCCTGAAAGAGATACCAGATACTGCCATATGAGGAAGTACAGTCATCAGAACTGTCTTACAGAGGCAAACACTAAGGATGGGCAAAGGATGACCATAGGACTTACCATTATAGTGGGTAGGAAGATGAAACAGCCATTCTGATCCATCCCTATGCTAAATAACTGTTTCTCCAATAATTGTAAAAACTATATTAGCATGTCCCCAGTCAGTTTCTATACAGGTTAAGAAGCGGAGTCTTATTCACTATTTTTATCTCAGTATGTACTCCAGGGCTTGAGGATTACAAATTAAAATACTTAGAGAAGTCAAATAAGAAATATAACTAAGTCAAATGGAACAAATGAAAGGCAACAGAAGCTTCTGGAGACTGTGTCTGAACAGTAGTACTTTTCTTCAGACCAAAAATATTTAAATACAAATTTCAAACTGTGTAGTCCAAGCTATGCATGTCTTCATGCAACAGGTGCAAACTCTGCACTAATGACTATGTGAATATGATACAAAGGCTCTTCCTGTAGCTTTGTATCACTTTATTGGTCCTGGAATGTGTAATACACTTAGAATGTTTGCATTTTTGTTTTGTTTTGAAAATAAAAGAACCATATACTGCATATGATGGTGGATATATTTACATATGTGCGAAAATTCATCAGATTTATGCCAAAACCCACCAATTTTACTACATGAATTTTTTTTTTTTTTTTTTTTGTAATGGAGATTGATCCCAGGTGTGTTTTACCACAGAGCTACATCCCCAGACCTTTTTGAAACTTTTAAATTTTAAGACAGGGTCTTACTAAGTTGCTTAGGGCCTTTTAACTTGCTGACTCTGGCCTCAAACCTGCGATCTTATTGCCTCAGCATCTTGGGTCACTAGAATTACAGGTATGCACCACATACCCAGCTACTTACATGAAAATTTTTAAAAAGCATAGAATTAACATGAAAATCCTTTTTCATATCATTAGCCAAATAAATTGGCAACCTGCATATAACCAAAGTCTTTAGAGTAGAACTACCTAATAGTAATAAGAGGTGAGCCATAGTAATAAAAATGAGCCATTGAACCCAATGTCTTTTTCATGCAAAGCACATCTTTACCACTAAGCTAAATCCCTAGACCAAGAAACTTTTTTTTTTTTGAGGTAGTGGGGTACCAGGAATTGAATTCAGAGGCACTCAACCACTGAGCCACATTCCCACCCCCTATTTTGTATTTTATTTAAAAATAGGGTCTCAATGAGTTGCTTAGCACCTTACTGTTGCTGAGGCTGGCTTTGAACTATTAATCCTCCTGCCTCAGCCTCCCAAGCCACTGGAATTATAGGCATATGCCACCATGCCTGGCCCAAGAAACCATTTTTAATAATATGCATTTCAACCCAGTATATTGTAAATATATAATTTCACCATGTAATCAATATAAAAACTGTTGATGAGATGTTTCACTTTTTTTAAAATTAGGTGTTCAAAATGCAAGCTCTAGGTACTTTTTACCTTCAGAACATTTCAATTCAGATTCGCCATATTTCAAGGACTCAGTAGCCATGTGGATATCACCTTGGGTGGCACTGTAGACTCATATTTTCCAGGTGTTATAAATGAAGGTCGGATGATGCGGTGATTTCAGCTGGCAATAGCAGCTGTGGTACAGGACCAACTGGCATGGCTCTATTAATATTCCCTGGATCCTGCCTTGGCCTTCATCCCTGAGCATTAGTTCCCTAAAAGACACTATAATCACCTTTATCGTGACCAGAGATGGCCATGCTGAGCTCTTTCTATGTGCCAGGCACTATTCTAAGCACTTTATGTATGTTAATTTGTTTGATTCTCATTCAACCTTCCCAAGTAGATACCACGATTACCCTCTTAATCAGATAATAAAACTGAACAGAGAGGTTAAAAAAAATAAATTTCCTAAGGGCATACCACTTATCTATGATGAAGCCAGGATTTGAACTCAAGCAATATGGCTCTGGAGCCAGTCACTTTTAACAGCTTCACTTTAAAAATTCAGAAAACCCAAACTGCTGGTGGGAGTAAGCGCCAAAAAGGCTGATAGTGAAGTACTTTGTAAAGATAAAGTTTATGTTCCTTAAGAACCAATACCTTTGGTATTTCCAGGCTCTTTTCTAGGGCCCTAAGGTTACTTAGATGCATCTCTAGACTTATAAGTTTAAAAATTCACACATCTTGGGAAGGTGACTAAAGTAGACTTTCTTCGTTGTTAAGATCCTTTTCAAAGAATGACCAAGTAGAAGATATAACAAGCAGGCATGGTTCTTCACCAATCTTGTCACATTAGGAAATGAAAGCACTCCTTACCCTCAGAGGGGACAGAAAAAAGTGGCTCTTCATTGAAGGAGACCCACTCTGACTGATGCGTAGCAATTACGTGGTCCAAGGTCGTCATGCTAGGAAGGCACTGGTCATCTTCACACTGGTGGTGGACCCTAGAATAATATCTGGGTGGAGGGGTATATGGCAGCACGGTCAACTTGGCCTACAGTCTGTAACAGGGGTCTTGCTGGGGGAAGTACTCAGAACATAGATTAGCCTTTCTTGCCTTTGATTAATCTGCCAAGCAGATATCTGTAAAACAAACAAACAAACAAAAAGCAAATTATAAAGGATAATCATCACATTTTACCAAATCCGCACAGGCCTAGGACTTTCAGCCCTGCCCATGAGAAATTCTGAGATAGTTTATAACTTGCCATATTTTTCTCTACTCCTGTCTTGCCTTTATTATGATGAAAAATCTGCCATTAGCATCAAGATCTCTGGATAAACCTTCATATCATCTGACTGATCAAATTTTGGTAACTAGGGTCCCTAATTTCCGCAATCCTTATATTTCAGAAATATTATCTATAATATAGTGCTATCATGGTAAAGCAAATATTAAAACTTTTTAAAGTGTTTTCACTTTATTTTACCAGATGGTAAAATAAAAGCATGTTCTTTTCTATTAAATCAGTGCAGTTTCTTGCCTTAGGCAGGTAACTTTTTGCAAGCCTGATTTAAATCTTTGGCAGAAACCCAACAATCTCCAGATGGTACCTCCAAGTATGGTTTACCAATCAAGAAAAATAGAAATGGAATTATCTCATTCATTTAGAGTAAGAGGATAGGGAATATTTGCTTTAGCGAAAAATATGAGTTAAAGAAACACAGTTTCAAGCTAGGCCAATTTGAATTAGCATATAAATGTCAAGTCTTTATTTACACTGCAATTATGTTCTATGTATACAGAAGCACAGTTAATTGGCTTATAATTTTGTTTATTCTGTTAATGTCTTTTAACAACTTGAACCTAGCTCTTGATCTAATGATGAATTAATAAAATAGGAATTAATGCAAAATTAATGTGCTTCCACAAAAGAGCTACTATATTGAGCAAAATCAGTTCTTACTAACTGAACACTCACAATATTCAGATAGTTTCTAGAAAGACTTAACTCATAACCTTCCCACTGGCATACAATAACAAGCTGAGGAAATCTTACATTACTATCTTCAACAAGTAACCTACACTGGGCAAAATCAAAATAGAAACATTTAATAGCTTTTGCCTTTTATGATTAAGACAGTTTTGTTTTATACATCCTAAAACAATTAATTTTTAATTTTCTATAAAATTTATAACTTTCAGAAACACATTTTCAGGCCATCCTTAATTTGATTTAATAGCCATTTCAGCTGAGTAGGACAGGTGGTACTATAATTCTTTTACAGAAGAAGAAATCTGGTCAGAGAAATTAAGTTATTTATTCAACATTTTTAGTGTTCTCAAACACTTATTTGATGTCCTAAGATTCCTAAGATGCTTCTTCTAAGTGGAAGAATTCATGAACCTCAGGAGAATGATTAAGTAACTCTTTTTCTCCATAATAAAATACTACATAAAGAATGATCAAGTAGGAGTCACAATAAGCATCAAGCTATGAGGGGATGGGCATAACCCTTTAATGCAGGTTGGTCTTTGGATGCCAAAACACTTGAACCTTTGGGTTATAAGCCACAAAAAAAAGTACTACAGAATGTATAGAGACTATCACCCACTAAAATACAAACACCAATAACAATGAATAGCCTGGGAAACTCCTTATGTGGAAATCTGCCAGAATACCCAAGGTATACAGAGGATGGAACACCCAGAAATCTCCAGTCCAACTCCTTTCGTGAGATCCTTACCAGTCACAGGACGGGAAATATTCAAACTGCCTTGGGAGTGCACATCTCCTAAACCAGATCTTACCAGAGAGCAATGCAGAGCCCACACTCAAAAGAGCTGATACCCATGAGCTTCTGCCTATAAAGGTTTTTTTTTTGAGCCCTGTCAAACATTAGTGTCACTCAATGTGGTTATGGCTATAGGCCAAGACAAGACAGCAAATATGAAGAGTCAGATTCCTCTCCCCACAACAGCAGCAGCATGTAAACCGCATCTCCCACCCCACCCTCTCTAAAAGAAAGCCACAAAACAAGCCCATGTGCTGACACATGCAGCGTCATAACTCAGTGGGGAAAACATCCTGCTGATCCCGTGATGATGAACATAGCAAAATCCATGGATGAGTGAGGTGGGGGAGGGGATAGGGAGAAAGAAGCAAAAGGTAAAGGTACTGGGAAAATACCTAGGAATTTTAAAATCTGGGGGTCTTAAAGATCAATAGTGCAGCTCCTAAGCTTTACTGATGAAAAAACTGAGGTTCAAGGAAATTAGGTATAACCACAGAGATTGTGAGAACATGGGATAGGAAGAGAGCCTGTCTGGATTTGAGACCTGCATAGTCTTGAATTCATAAATCAACCTCTTTAAGCTTCAGTTCACCCCTATACAGTAAGAATAATAAAACTCACTTCATAATTCTAAATATTAAGTGAGATCATGTATATCAAGTACTTGCTACTGAGTATAATAAGCCCTCTGTAACAATGACAATGATAATAACAGCATGTGTCCTTACAGAGGGCAGACTCTGCACCAGGCCCTATTCCAAACCCTTTGTAAATGTTAGCCATAACTATCACTGCTGTTGTTAAACGTATCACCCAAGGCTGCACAACTCCTTAGTGGAAGTCTTAGGACTAGAATGCAGGTGTAAGGAAACCACCTCATTTCTGTCACTTACACATTTAATGATTTCCCTGTGCAGTTACTGTAAAAGCAGTTCCCCTAGATGTCAAGTGGAGTCAAGTGCTTAGTTATAGGGCCCAGAAGGCCAATTCTGAAACTTCTTCTTTATTGCTATAGACACATTCTGGTTGGGGAACATCACAGAAGGTATGAATGAAAAAGAGCCCCAAAGATCTATCTACCCTTACTTAACTTGTTGTCACAGGTCAGACATGGGGCAGTTATAAATAATATGTAGTCGAAAGAAGGACTTTTATTACAGGATCCCGCGCATAATCCCATGAAGTGGATTCTGGGCATTTACCATGGAATGTATAATAAACCCTAAGACATTAAACCTTGAGAAGGGCTATGCTTGCAGCTCAAAATCCACAGAGAAACCCAATAATTGTGAGGCTATATTCAGACTAGGATTAGTTTCTCAGTAAAAACCTCACCCCATTTTTAGAATGTGAATCATAATGTGAGGCTTAGAGTCACCACAAATGAATAGTGACTCAGAATCAGCAGCAATGCCATCGAAAAGACACTAGAAATTTCACTGAAGTTTTAAGCTTACCACTCCAAAGAGATACTTCTTTCTCAGCACTGCTTACCACTGAAAATTGGGGGGTAGACAATAAAATTTTCTGATAAGATTGAAGTCATCAAAGTAGATTTGTGTTATGTCAACCCTATAAAATACATTCATGACCCCTGTATATATGGACGTGCACCAGATGCCCTTGGAGAATGGTGACCCTTGAGTGGCTCACAAGCCAGTTGGGAGATGAAGAAACACAATGGCAAACCCAAGTCTGGGAATAACTGCCTGCTGAGGGACACACTGCAAGTTCTATGACAGTTTAGCTATAGGGAATCCTTGAGGACTGGAATTGTAAGAGGCTGAGCAGGTTTCTTGGATTTGAAGGATGTCCTTAGTTTTAGACCACCAGAAAGGATGAGCAAGGATGTCTTTGGGAAAGAGGATCAGCATGAGTCAAAGTTAACCATCATTCCTCAGTAAGGATTGTTTCTGGGTCAGTATGATGGGAACAGAGGTACAGATTCAATGGGAAATGAGGAGATGGCTCAAGGTTTAGAAATAGAAAGACTGACTCAAGAAAAATGAGTAGGGGACATTAACATTGCTGGGTAAGAGCCTGGAGATGAATGTTATCAGCTGGGAATGTCCCTCTGGTGTGTTCCACAAAATCAGGGACTGATATTATCAGGAAGAGGTACTGGGAACTCTGTTCTGGACTTGCTCTAAATTCTAAGGGTGCTAGGAAGAGCAATACACCTTTAGGTAGCTTATAGTCAACTGCAGGGAAATGTGACAGTGACATAAAATAATAACCCCTGCTTTCTGACCTATTCAGATGGGTTATCCATCAAAGTGCAACAGTAGAGAGGAAGGGCATTCAGAAGCTCCTCAGGGCTTCAGCAGTAGATGGTCTTGAGCTGCACCTTAAACTGGAAAGGAGGGCTCTGAGTGAAAGCAGAGGGGCAACGTTATTTAGAATAAGGGCACAGGAAGGGCATGGCTACCCAACTGAGTTATGTTCTGTTTATCTGAAAAGTTAAAGTGGTATCAGGCTTGTGGGACAAAGAGAGCTTAGAACAGTGACAGCCCTAGATTTCAAAGTGAGTTTGTTCTAGAAACTACCCTTTCCATTACCACTGCTGATGCCTGGGTACAGCCCTTTTGGTCTCTCATCCAGTTACCAGTCTCTTACCTGTCTCCCTACCCCCAGTATCATCCCACTATCCTGTTATCCACCTATTACGCTTGAGTGGTCTTCTTAAAACTTGAAAATGGCCATGCCATGGTCTACTTAAAAACTCCTTGATGGTTCCTCACAGGATAAAGTGATATGAGAAATAAACAAAGGCTCCTGATAGGAGAGGCACACCAGCTTTGTCTGTGGATATACCCTTAGCATTGAACAGAGCACCTGGGACACGTTAGGTGCTAATAAATACTGCCCTTTGATGCAGGCACTCTGTGATTCTTCCCTATCTACATCTCTAATCTCTTGCCATTACCTCCCCATGTAAACCCTGCATTTTTGATAAACAATTATTTTTCTCCAAAGACTTTTATTTCATATACATTATGTGTTCATATATTCAACCATGTGTTCATATATTTATCAATTAAATATGCTATTAAGTGTTCTCTCCAGTTTTATTTCATGAGCTCCTAATCACCTTCAAGTCTTAGCTCACTTGTTGTCTTGGGTTTAGTTCAACAAGCTTTGACACCAAGTGGAAATCACTGAATTAAATGAAAGAGAAGACAGATTCTCTTGCTGTGAAGACTTTATGGTGGACATGTTAGCTATTTTTTTGGCCACTCAAAATTTAAAAAAAAAAAAAAAAAGCCTTCCTTTTTTTAAGAGGAAAAAAATGCTCTCTTCCATCCCTCATGACAAATTATTCAT